ACTCTGTTTCTACGCTTGGTTGACCAGATACGTCGTGTGTTTGTTCGTCATTTGTATTCTACGATACAATGACATGAGCGTGTTACCGTTCAGATTTGAGGATACAGCTGATAGAAGGAAGTCAGCAAATGAACTCTGCAACGATTTTCCGACCTAGAGCGTCAACCTGAGAAGGGTTGTAGGCGTACTGCTGTAAGTCCTACAATTGAATGGCATAACTCTCCCAGTGGTCACTGAGCACAAGGACTTGGGAGTGGTTGTGCAGCATGACTTGAAAACAGCAACAAACTGTAGAACTGCAGCCACTAAGGGTTTTAGAATGTTATGGGCCATACGCAAGGCTTTTGCGAACTTTGACGCTGATATATTTCGTATATTATATCCGACTTATATCAGACCTCATTTGGAATATGGGATCCAGGCAGCGAGCCCGTGTTTCAAATACGAAATTGACTTATTAGAAAGGGTGCAAAGAGTAGGAACTAAGCTAATAAAGGGTTTCTCAACCCTGTCATATGAGGAGAGGTTAAGTCGACTGGGTTTATTTCCACTGTCATACAGACGACTTAGGGGTGACCTAATACTAGCATACCGTATCCTAAGAAATGATTTTGGAGCTAATTTATCTAAATTATTTCTTCCTTCTAGCACCAACCAATTGCGAGGACATCACCTCTAGGTTCAAAAACCACGGTCGAATCGTCTGCGTCTGGAAATCCGTTTTTCGCATCGAATTGTGAACCATTGGAACTCCCTACCGGAACATGTCGTATCAGCGCCATCCGTTGATTCATTCAAGGCGAGATTGGACCTCCTGTATGAAATAAATCGAAAGGATTAACACAGGCATATAGCCTACTATCCTAAATAAATTGTAAACTGTAAACTGTAATTTTTTCAAAGGGTAGCGCATCAACAAGCAGTCCAATGTGCTTGGTGTGTGATTTTGTACATATGTTCATATTGTACATACTGAATTGATATCATCTGTCTGTTGGTAATTCTGTTTGTGTCCGGACGACTTCCGCTTGTGTCATCAACCTGAGAAGGAATGTAGGCGTACTGCTGTAAGTCCTACAGTTCTTCAAGGGTAGTTTGTCATGCCATTTGATGTATTAACCGAAATATATAATAATAATAATAGTATTTTCTCATTTTGTACATGAGAGACGCCAGTTTACAGGCATCATCAATATGATAAATTACATATACGATTAGCAATCATAATTAATAATAATGTTTTAATAAAATACACATTTTTTCCTACTTGTGTAGGACACACCAAATATACAGGCATGGATAAGCATTATTTAAATTTCATAAATTTGGTTTATGGTTAAGTTACATGGTTGCTGGCGTTTTTGTCTTAGGTCTGTGGGAACAATATGATAACCAGTCATTCAATGGAGCACATCATGAAATATAGGAATATTGTCTTCGCATTAACAAAAAAACCCAAGTAAGTTTTGGATGGATTAAAAATACTTGGGAAAAAATAAAGCTTGAAGTAATTCCTCAATATAACTTGGGTGTGTACAAATCCGAATCTCATTTTTGATTTATATCCAAATTGGGTAATAAGGAAGCTATTTTTACAGATACGATCAGTTATGTTATAAGCTACAATCGTGACGTTGTATTACAAATAGATACTTTTCCATTGGTATAAGAGTATATTCCACAAATGTAATCCAGGTTGCGTCGTGGAGAAAGTTAATTCGTTATTAACCAGGCAACTGAAAGATACGGGACCAATAATGTTTGCAGATCATTTGTCATTGTAAATGGTCAAATATCCACATTATTCATTCTCATTCAAAAAGTCAAATGGAAGCTGAAATGGTGAGAGAAAAAAGAAGACAAACAACAGCAACGCAAAAGAAAGCAACGGGAGTCCTTAAGGAGTGATTAATAAATATATACATATATATTCTGTTTAGTAACTGTGGTTATTTTGGTACACAAACTAACTAGTCCCGTTATGCTAACTTTTATATTATGTGTAAACTAATATTACTGTCCTGTGTAGAAATGTTAATCATCTAGTTCCAATAATATTAAAATTTATAATTGTAGTTTGTTGTAACTACACGTTTAAAGAACTTAAAATATCTATGTAGGGTGAAAAAGAAGGTGTAAGAGTCAGGCGCAAAAGTGCATTGTCATCTTTGAGCAGTCTGGTGACTGAGGAGATGAACACTGGAAGTGTGTTTGCATCGCGCACATTAGCTGGTAGTCTATTCCAAATGACTGAAAACTTATTTAAGAAGAAGTTGTACCGCACGTAAGTCTGACAGTGCTCCATAGCAGCTAGGTTGTGATGATTTCTAAGATTGTAACTGATGACAGCGGTAGGTTTAGTTATTGGCTCGGAGGAATGCAAGAGAAGATTAGTTAGCTTATAGTAAAAGATAAGGTTTAGCTTAAGGCGTCTTTTCCAGAGGGGTTCTAATCTTAGTCTTTCGCATCGCTCATGGTATTCCAGACCACTTTCTAAACCAAGAGTTCTTGAGGTAAACTGCCGTTGCACTCCCTCTAATTTAAGCTTGTCATTTTGTCTGAGTCCGCTAAGAATAAACGGGCAGTATTCTAAGATAGGTCGGACACATACTTTGTATAATAAAACCCTAGTTTCACAACAAAAGAAATTGCGTGTTATGCATCCTATCAGCCTTCGCGTTTTACGTCTGGCATAATCAGTCTGTTCAGCGAACGTTAGGTTACTAGAGTATCTAATACCGAGATCTACGACTGAGTTGAGCTTAGCTAGTTTTCGCCCATTTATTTCAAGAGTTAGATCAAGGTTACTGTTGCCGATACAAATCCAGCCGCATTTGTCAATGTTAAAATTTAGACAGGATTCAGCACACCACGTTGCAAGGCTACTTAGTTCAAGATGTATTTTAGTAACCATATCGCTTAATTCATGAGTGTAGCAGGAGTAGACGACTTTGAGGTCGTCAGCATATAGGAATGGTTTACCTGAGGTGAAGCACTTGCAAATGCTGTTAATGTAGACTGTGAATAAAAGTGGACCTAGGACACTACCTTGCACGACCCCACTTGAGATCTGCCTAGGATGAGACAATACAGATCCAACTTTGGTTATTTGTACCCTGTTGCTTAGAAATGATTTTAACCAGTTCAGTAATGGGTTGCGAATTCCACAAGAGTACAGCTTCTCAAAGAGAATACTGTGAGATACCATGTCAAATGCCCTAGATATATCGAAGTAGAGAACAACGACTAGCTTACGTGCTTCGCGACTACTAGTGATGCAGTTGAAAAAGTCGAAGTGGCAAGTAACGCAGGATCTATTTTTGAGAAATCCGTGTTGAGACCTTGTAACAAGATCTTCCCTAATTAGGTAGTCTGACAATTGATCTTTTACAACTTTCTCCATGATTCGTGAGATAACTGGGGTTATATTTATGGGTCTGTAATTGCGGACGTTTGCCCTATCACCAGATTTGTAATGTGGAATTATGAAGCTAGTTTTCCACTCACTAGGGTAAGTGCCAGTGTCCATAGATATTGAGAAGAATTTAAGAAGTAACAGGGTATATCACACCCACTGTTTTTGAAAATTATCGAAGCGAGGCCATCCGGTCCCGTACTAGTGGAAGGTTTAAGGCTTTTAATTGCTTGTACTATTAACTGATTAGTGAACACAATGCTTTCAAGGGAAGAGATAGTAAGGGGAGCGGTTTCACCAGGCATATGTGTTTCTAAACTAAAGTTTGCAAACCAATCACTGAAGAGTTCACAGATAGTGGCAGGTTCATTGTAGATTACTTTGTCGTGAAGTAAGTATGGGATTTCCCTCGCCGACTGCATTCGTTTTTTAAGAAGTGCCGTTAAGTTATAAACTTTGGAGGTACTTTCAAGTGCCGTTAACTCTTCGTCGAGGTCCTTTTGAGAGCGTAGGCGCTTGAGAGATTCAAGAGACTCGTGGATTGAGAGCAATAGTGATATGTCCTTAGTGGAATAGTACTGTTTCTTCAGCTTCCTTAACTTATTACGGTGTGCCCTTGGAATATATTCAGTTCGGTGTCTACTTAATTTCACTATTTTCTTTGGAGCAACTGTATCTAGACAAAGGGTAACATTCCTGTAAAACAGGGTTACTAAGGCCTCCAGGGAGTCAGTGGTAAAATAGTCATCCCATTGACAGAGTCGAATAAGTTCTTGGACTAATCCCCAGTCTGTATATTTGTAACTACGACATATTGTGCTTCCTGAGTCTTGTTTGTTTCCTGTATTTAGTGGTGAGAAAGGCAGAGAGCAGAGTACCATTCTATGGTCACTACTGGAAAATCGATTACCAACATACGTGGATACTGGGATTGTGTCATGACAAAAAACAAGGTCCAACATGTTGTCACCACGAGTAGGTGTCTGGACGTGTTGTTGCCATCCATAACAGTCTATAGTGGCAAGTAATTCGTCGAAGCGTTGGGGGCCGGAACTAGTTAGCCAATTGACTTCTGGAAGATTGAAGTCCCCTGCAATTATTTTGTAATTAGCACTAAACGAGGATGCGTGTGCAAACGATTTAGCTAATAACGCATCAGTTTCTTTTGTTGAGCTTGGTGCTCGATAAACACAGCCTATGAGAAGTTTGTACTTATCTCCATGTAAGACAACCCAGAGTGAGTCAGGTACATTATTCATTGTTTCATCTTCCACCTTACTGACTACAAATGAGCTATGTATATATATGAGACATCCTCCACCACGCTTGCAATCTCTGTTTGCACGGTGTACAGTGTAATCATCGATACCTATATGCACATCAAGTACAGAGGATGAGCACCATGACTCAGTAATCAGAGCTACAGTAGGCTTGGCGACTAATAATAATGTCCTTAGTTCAGATATCTTATTGATTAAGGAACGTGCATTAATTAGCAATATCGTGAATAAGTCACGGGATACTACAAACTGGCTTAAAATGTCACCATAACCTAAATCTATTTGTGCGTCAGCACCGCAAGAATTTATGAATGAAAAGGAGGTCGGACTGGGTGTCTGCACATCGGAGTTGGTGTGCAATGAGGTGGTCCTAGGTGCCATGGGTCGTACCAGTGATTCGGGACACCTGGAAAATTTACCATGTGTTCCTGGATATAAGGGTAGTACAGGTTGGGCCTAGGTTGACGGTTAAAAGGCATAGCATCAGAAGGTCTACCCATCCAACTGCTATTCGTCATACCGGTATACACCTTCGGGTTGTTTTTATAACTTAAAGGGAATTGTGAAGGAAGGTGCTTTGGCTGCAAGACTTTAGGAGTCTTGGAGCCTGACTTTCTATAAGGTGGAGCATGCGGAACACCTCCAGATGTACTTATGTTTCGAGAGGAGTTTTTCGTAACAAGTGATGGTTTGTTGGCATTCTTACTCTCAGCAGGCTTATTGAATACAAAGTATTCTTCCCCATCATTAGTCTCAACCCTGCGAAATTTGTTCATCGTGGTGAGGTTACTACGTTTGGGGGGAAATTTCTTAGAACAACTTGCAGAAGTTCTAGTCATTTTAACATCTTTCGATGAGGCTTTATTTACAGGGGTACTGGTATCTAAATCAGTTCCTAGTTCCATTGGCAGGTGTGGTTGTTGTGTAGTTTGCTGAATGCTAGTTTCAGCACTAGGTGTCTGTTGCTGTGCACGATCCTTATTTGGTAAATCAAAGCTAGAGGAGGTGACCAGGTTATTACTACGCATTATTCTGCGCTGACACGGTGTTTTATCCTGAGCTACGGTTATAGACTTATAACTGCTATTCAGTCTTAAGTGATCCTGACATTTAGTAAACTTACTAGCATCAAGGGAATTACTGAATTTAAAAATGATTGGGCAATTAGCCTGGTTAGACTTTTTACGAAGTCGTTTGCATTCACATGGAACACTAGCCATGCCGCAACAAATCAGGATTTTGTGTCTTACAGTTTTCAGGGGCAGAGAATCTGGGACGTTGTAAACTATAGCTTGGTGAGAAGAGGTTATACGCTTCATCACCTCCGTAGCCAAGCAGTCAATCAGATTTTCAGCTTTATTTAGGTTGTCTGGAGATATTTTAGGATGCCTTTCTAAAAGACAGGCTATTGGGTCTAAATTCAAAAGCTTATTTTGAGTTACATCCAGTAAACACTTAACCTGGCCAATATCAAACGGCTCTCCGTGGTATTTGAGATTGGCAGTGACATACTATCAAACTGATCTAATTTTTTCTGAATTTCACTTACTTGCCTCTGCATATCTTTCAAAAGGAGGTTTAGTTTACAGAACTCAGAGTTCTCTAACAGAACATCTTTCACCTGTATCACAGGAGTGAGATCTGCACTCAAACCATTTTGAGAGCTAGTAGTTGATACTGTATTACCGGCGGTAATGCAGTTATAACCGAATTTAAGCCACTATCTAAAACAATTGTGTTTCTACGAACACGTTTTTTAGAGATTTGGACCATAATTTCAAGAATTATATGACAATAAGCAGTAAATAAATTTCAGAGCAAACACGTGCAAAAATGTCACCAATTTCGAACGTACCGCCAAGCGTTCTATCAATAATTTTTCCTTCACGTCCCCAGTGGAACATAGGGCTTCAAGCCTCTAGCTTGAAGTTCCTGTAGCAGTGTTTATTTTTACAGGATGGGTTTGCCAGCCTCATGCCCAACCTTTCCTCTTTACCAGCATTGTTTCAGGCTTAGCGAGGTAAAGGAGGGCCTCGTCGGCCGGAAATCGAACCCAGGTCCATGTGCATGGTTGGCGAGCGTCCTAACCGCTATACCACCGACGCCTATATATCAGGTGTGCGTCGGCGTGGGCTCGAACCCCGGACCATGTGCATGGTCGGCGAGAGTCCTAACCACTGTGCCACCGACGCACAAACATTATCAGGGCGAGACGCATGCATATAGCACACAGCCTTCTTCAAACCTTGCACACAACCATTAGGTCGCGTACTATCCCATCGCCCTTGGCAGATCTGGCAACAAAAGTCACGAGAACACCATCAGAGCATATGACAGGCTAGGTACGGTGAAGTGAATATTCGTGATAATGATCATGATACTTCACAGTTGTCTTTGGTTGATCATGATGAGATGAGGGATATGCCTACTACTGCTGAGTTGAACAAAGGTTCTGTACAACTTGAACGTGAAGTAGAAATAAACGCAGGTGCAGTTGCAGAAGGCACGCATACTTGTGAGACCGTCAGTGTAAGTGATCAGCATGTAGCCCACCTATCATCAGATGCCAGTGCTAAACCGGAGCTAATAGTAAAAGACGGCAGTGGTGGTGGTCTTGCAGGTAGACAAATTTCTGAAAGTCAAGCAACAACAGCCTTTGATCCACCGCTAACTTCATCAACTGGTATCAATCAGTCGTCGTTAGTGCTGTCATCCACAATGACAGAGATGCCATCAACTCAAGTATCTTGTGCAATGACTGTGATGGTATTGGTGCATTTGAAAAGACGAAAGATATTGGTCAGTTTCGTGAGGATAAGCCAAGTGTAAACGAGAGGGTAATTGTTAAATTGACTTGCACGAATAAAGGCATTTCTAGTTTCAAGTTACTATTTGAATGCTATTATCTTTGGTGAAAATTACTCTGTTTCTACGCTTGGTTGACCAGATACGTCGTGTGTTTGTTCGTCATTTGTATTCTACGATACAATGACATGAGCGTGTTACCGTTCAGATTTGAGGATACAGCTGATAGAAGGAAGTCAGCAAATGAACTCTGCAACGATTTTCCGACCTAGAGCGTCAACCTGAGAAGGGTTGTAGGCGTACTGCTGTAAGTCCTACAATTTCTTCAAAGGGTAGCGCATCAATGAGCAGTCCAATGTGCTTGGTGTGTGATTTTGTACATATGTTCATATTGTACATACTGAATTGATATCATCTGTCTGTTGGTAATTCTGTTTGTGTCCGGACGACTTCCGCTTGTGTC